GGAAAAAATCCAGGAGGCCAATGGTTCAAGGCAGCAACGCCAGGCCACTAAGGGACTAGCCTCCCCTGTCCACTGGCTTAATCCGTTTTAGGGTCACCTGCCCCAAAGGCCACCCAAGGGGCTTCTTTGGAAGCCAGCTGGTGCACTGCAGGCAGCTCTGGGGAGACCTGCCCGTGAGGCTGCCAGGCTCATGGCAAGTTCCTTAAGTCAGGCACACTTTCCGTCAGCTGTTTTGCAACTGAAACTCTTTTGTGGTTAAAGATTTCATCAAAGTGGTGGTTAACACACAGGCCTTTAGATCAATCTGGGGGTGGAAACCTGGGCCAAGGAGCATCTCCTGGGCATGCATGTGGCTGGCAGGCTGAGCCTGGGGAGTCAACGGAAGCCGGGAACTGGCAGGTTGGCAAATACCCCTGCATTGCCCCAGCCCTTCCTGCCTCACTCTTGCTCACTTTGCGGGCCGTATTGCTCCAGCATTTCCCCAACTTACCTAATTCTTTGGGTCACAATCACAAGACACTTGGTGGTGCAGCAATACTGGGATCCTTCATTTTGCTGGCATACCTCCCAAGCTACTCTCTGTGGCTTGGGGGAGCGGTGTGGGTGGATCCCAGGACAGGCTCCTTAGGGCACAGTATGGAAAGCAGTAGCTAAGAGACCCCCGCAGCTCCTCCTTTGGGGGACCCAGGGCAGTGCAGGCAGTGCGGGCCAGGCCACTCTGTTGGGCAGGGCGGGGAGGGTCCCTGTGAGGTGGGAAGCAAAGGCTTGACAAGCGGCCCAGGAAACCAGCTTCCTTGTCAGCTGCCGGGGCAGGAAAGGGTTGAAGCTGCCTGCCGGGCATGCCAGGCGAGATCTGGCAGCCCCGGGAGGGAGAGGTGGGTTCAGCAGCGCTGGGCTCCAGGCAGTCCCCCTTTGCGCTGCCCTGCACTTGGCCTGCCGAGCCACACTTCTGGAGAACGATCGCTCCCGCACTTTCCCAGACAGCTCTGAAAAACGCTGCGGGAGCTTGTGAACATGCAGGGTTCGATGTACCGAGGTTTCCTCCTGGCTAGGGAGCGATCAGGTCAGGGCGTGACCCTTCTGCCGCGCGCACATACCGCTGGCTGCGCAGCCCTTGGGGCTGGGGAAACCTGAAGGGGAAGATGCCAGAAGACCCAGTTCCCTGGGAGCCAGCGGACCCCTGATGTGTGTGGTGGGGGGTGAGAGAGACAGAACTAGGGACATTCTTGCAGGCTTTGTCAGGTTCTTGAAGGGCTTTGAGAGGAAGGCAGTTGTGGGGTGGGAAGCCACCCCCAACCACTTAAGATCCCATAGATGCTTATCTCCAGCTGCCACCAGCCCAACAAGTTGTGCTGGTGGCAAGAGCTTGTGGGAATTGTGATCCAAACTATCCGGAGGCTTCGTTGCTTAACTCTATTTGGTACTGTCCCGTATTCATAGACTTTCTCTGCATGTTGTAACTCCACACGAGAATTCCACGCGTGTTTAGGCTACAGATTGGTCAAGGAAAAATCGCAGCCTCCGGGCTCTTTCCAATGCCTCGCAGCAACTTAGTCGACCGCCCGCTGCACAGCAAAGGAAGCGGGAGCAGGCAAGTCTCTGGAGACTCGCCAGGAGCTCAGGGTCCATCTGGAGGGTTTCTGCTTGGGGTGATTATTGGGCGAAGCAGCAGAAGGGTTAGGAAGGCCCACCAGCACCAGTTCTTGGTCTTGGGGCTTTGGCCTGATCCGCTCACGCACCGATCTCATTTGCTCATAAGCCTGGTCCAAGAGTTTGTCCCGAGTGCGGGAGTGCCTCGCCTGACCCACCAGTCACTGTGCATCAGAACATGCACTTTCTTAGTCACCCCCAGGATAGCCACCAGCACACCAGACCGAAAATGCTTCTGGAAGTTTTTAGACTCCCTGGAAAGTCCACCAGAGGCTTGGGCAGCTCAGATGATATGGGGGGGTGTGAATCATGTGTTCCACCCTTGGAAACGCGGTACATTCGGCTATTTGAAAGCAGTGACCCTTTTTCCGTCCCAAAGACACAGGCTTCTGTGGGTTAAAAGAAAGGCGATGAAATGACCCCAGAGAGCCTGCCTGTCATGCTGGGAAAGGGGATCTCAGCCAGATGTGGAGCCTTTTCTCCTCAGGGCTCTCTGTAGAAATGTGCCCGGCTTCTGGCGGAGGGAAGCGGAGGGATGGAGAGCTGCGAGTAATATCAATATTTCCCCTTGTGAGATTCCTCCCCCCAAAAATCCAGCTGAGGTTCTGCCCATCTGTCTGTCTTCAGCACGAGGAGACTGACCACCAAAAAGCTGCAAGTGAGCACACATAACCAGCCCTTGCAGGAGTAAACATGGTGCGTGAATCCCTCTCGCTTATGCCTGCCATAACCAGCAGCGCTGAGCTTCCGCTCTGGCAAGAAACTGTCCCTTTGGAAGATGTAAGTTTGGAAGACCCTGAACAACTGCAGTCCTGTAATAGAGGGCACCAAACTAGGAACCGGGAAACGGTGAGTTCTAGTCCTGCCTTAGGCACGAAGCCAGCTGGGTGACCGTGAGCCAGTCACTCTCCTTCAGCCCTGAGAAGGAGGCAGTGGCAAACCACTTCCGAAAAACCTCGCCAAGAAAACTGCAGTCGCCAGGAGTCAACACTGAGGAAGGCACACACACAAGGCTGTAATAAAAGAGTCCATAACCACCTAAAATTATCAATGAACAGCCAAATGAATAACGGTGATTCTGACAGACAGTCAAATGCAGTCTTCCCTCAAAACTGGCTCCCTGCTTTGCCTGAGGAAGCTGATCACTGGCTGATCCACACCAGAGGCTGTTGGGCAGCGCTCCCACTTGGCCTGCAAAAGGCTGGTCAGTTTTACAAAACACAGCCCCTCTTCTACCTTGCTTGTGGCCCCAGAGGGCTGTGGGCCCACCGCTTGAGAAGCCCTGCCGCAATGCGTATGGGGCCGAAAGGGCCCGGTCTTGGTCACAGGAACTGGGCCAGGAAGGCCTTTCTCTTCGCCCCGGGATTTCCCGGCACCAGTTTCCAGGCGGAGCCTTGGTGCCCAGCCTCTCCTGCCCCGCACAGGAGCAACAGCTCCCAGGAGCTCCTGGATCAGGCTGGCCGAGCAGTCTCTGGGCGCCCCCCTTCTGCCTGCCAGCAAGGAGGGCTGGTGAGCCACTCAGAGCCTCTGCAGAACCAGGCAAGGGCAATCGGTGTGGCTGGCTGGCTGGCTGACTCACGGTCCCTTTTCCTCCTTGGCAAGTGACTCCCTCCTTGCACCCTGCCTCAGCCTCTCAGTCATCAGCCTCCCGAGCAAGAAGAGCCGCCCGTGTCTCCCCTGCCCTCCTCTTGCATCAGGACAAGACAGCCAGAGAACATTGCAGCACCACTGATGTGACCCATGAGCCTCACGCCCTGGGCAGGAGGAGGAGGAGCCGCCGTTTTGCCCTATATAAGGTTGCTCCAGAATCCCTTGGAGCTTTATCCAATCCCAGTAAACTGTCCAGAGACCTCTGGGGTCCCGAGAGCAGTCAAGAGAGAAAGACCATGGCTGGTGAGTAGGAGTAGCAGGCTGGGTCTGGGGGCCACCAAGGCCCTTGCGAAGCAGGGCTTCCTTCTGGCGGATCTCTGAGAATTGGAGGGTCACCCGGCAGACAGAGTGCACGGGGAAATGCTGCCTGCTTCTCAGTGGGGCTGGCGCCCGCAGCCTCTCCAGCTCCCTGCCCCTTCCCCACCCTGGGACCGAGAGGGCTTCTTCTACCACCTGATTGCCCCCTGCGCTGCTGGCACAGAAGGGAGAGAAGGAGGGGGGACACACTTTGGGGACAGCGAAGTCTATCATGGACTCGGAAGGAGAGCAGCGTGCCCAGTGGAACTCTGGCGGCAGACTGACACGGACCGTGCCCAAGTGAGAGGTTTTAACATCCCCATTGTCCCCTGAGCTCTGCTGCGCAAGGGCTGCCAACCAGCCCCTAAGCCCTTGCGTGCAGCGAAATCCAGCTCAAGGAAATGAGCCCCAAACCACCAACTTCCTAGAGGCCTCCTGGATTGTCACCTGCGGCTGCTGTTTGTGCAGGATATTCTGCCTCTGTGTGTGTGTGTGTGCGCACGCGTGCACACCCCAAGCTGGGAAGAAGGGAGCACCTTGTCTGCAGGGAACGTAGCCTTTTCCTCCTCGAAAGACCCATAATTAGGAGGGGAGGCGGCAGCGGCGGCGGCGGCACCTGCAAGCAAGCCAGCGCTTGCTGGACAGGTTGGGCTCGGTGCCTGAGATCAGTCCTCCCTCCTCTGCAGCCCGTCCCCGTCCCGGGCCCCAGTCTAGGTTGAGAGGAGCCCGGAGCTGTTGGGAAAAGGCCCCTGCCCAGGTAGTGCTCGGGGCACCTCAGGGCCCTTTGGGCCTGCTGCCCCCCACACTGATTGCCGGCTTTTAGCTGTGGGTCCCCTGTGAATCCGGAAGCCCGTTGACGAGGGCCTGGGGAATTGTGGCCTGTGCTGCTGGAGGCTGCGGGGGGTGCCTGCCCAGCGTCCCCATCCTGGAGTTGGCCCCCAACAGTTAGAGGGGGCCAGCGTGGAGCATCCTCTCGGGGGAGTGGCAGACAAGTCCCGTCGGCACACCCAGAGGCTGCTGGCGCTCGTCTGTGGCTCTCCTCCTCCCATCTCAGAAAGCACTTGTTTTCTCTGCTGCGGCTGGCCCACGAACGCCCCGGGCTCCTCCATGGCCCTTCCAGGCTCCTCTCACGCTGAGCACGGCCTCTCCTCGAGGCTTGCTTTTGGCCACTGCCTGCCCCTTGAGGCAAGGAGGGATGCCTCCTCTGCAAGGATTCCTCCCCCACGACCCTGGGCATCGAGCAGAGGTCTGCGCATGACCCTGAGCAGATGCCCAGCAGCCCCCAGTCTGAGGTCCAGGAGCTCCTGCCACCCTATGGTAGGCTCAGGCGGCCAGGATCCTCGGGGTTCACACAAGCCCCCTAAGCCCAAAACCCAACTGAGCAGAACGCAGCAGCTGTTAAGCAGGCCTTGATTCTTCTTGGGGTATCAGTGCCCTGTGGACTCAGGTCCTCTGGCGGGGGGGTCACCTTCCTGTGCAGAACCATCATGTGGGGCCAGAGAAGCCGAGCACATGGCTAACTCAGTCAACAGTGTGTTCCCCACCCACCTGCCCACCCCACTGGTAGCCCAGCGGGCAAGCAGAAAGGGGGCGCTCTTGCTTCCTCAAGGAGCAGCATGGAAGCTGCAGTCATGGCTGAGTCGCCGTCTCTCCTTCTTGGCAGCTTCAATCAGCACCAACTGGAGGCAGAGCGAGAATGCCCGCGAGCACCACACCGACCAGTACCCTGGCACTGGGCTGGTTTTGCGACGGGCCCAATCGTTTGGGATCACACTGACCTTCACGAGCTCAGCTCTGGCTGCCGACGGCATCACCTTCTCTATAGACAGAGGTAAGGATGTGTCCTCTTTCCCGGCCCTGCCCGGGAGAAGCACCCCCCCCCCCGCCATCAGCGGGCCCT